AAACTTTGCTTGTTGACGTCAGTGTTTCAGTCTATGTTTATTCGCATACATTATTGCATTTCTAAGATTAACATAAATTTCAGGATGAATCCCTTTGGTCCCACCAAATTTTAGGAAACAACAACTTACTCCATGTACAGTCACTTTCTTGTGTTCCTTTTCCAGTGGCTACCTCTTTTCCAGTTGGACAGGCAGTGCAGGTAGTAGCTGTGTTTGCTGCTGCACTCCATTCATCTGCCGGACAGTCTGTACAGCCATTTGTCTGATCCAGAAACTGGCCCGCAATACAATCTTCTGCAAGTATAGTCGAGTTTAGTCAAATATTAGTTGCAAGTTTGAGCCGCTGGCGAGCAGCCTAAAATTCGAAGTACCCTTTTAGGGATGGTTTGCTTTTATTTGAATATTGGATAAGTGTCAAAGTGTGTGCGGGTGTTCACATACAATAGTTGCATTTGAATCACAGAAATTCCTTTCGAGCATCTGTGATGGGACCTCATAAACGTAAAGTAGTATTAATTGTACAATTACTAAACTTTGCTTGTTGACGTCAGTGTTTCAGTCTATGTTTATTCGCATACATTATTGCATTTCTAAGATTAACATAAATTTCAGGATGAATCCCTTTGGTCCCACCAAATTTTAGGAAACAACAACTTACTCCATGTACAGTCACTTTCTTGTGTTCCTTTTCCAGTGGCTACCTCTTTTCCAGTTGGACAGGCAGTGCAGGTAGTAGCTGTGTTTGCTGCTGCACTCCATTCATCTGCCGGACAGTCTGTACAGCCATTTGTCTGATCCAGAAACTGGCCCGCAATACAATCTTCTGCAAGTATAGTCGAGTTTAGTCAAATATTAGTTGCAAGTTTGAGCCGCTGGCGAGCAGCCTAAAATTCGAAGTACCCTTTTAGGGATGGTTTGCTTTTACTTGAATATTGGATAAGTGTCAAAGTGTGTGCGGGTGTTCACATACAATAGTTGCATTTGATTCACAGAAATTCCTTTCGAGCATCTGTGATGGGACCTCATAAACGTAAAGTACCTTAGTTCCCAAAAATTTGTGTGCCATTATATTGAGCACAATTTATTTGAGCCCGAAAAATTTGGGCAGAAAATTTGAACTCATTTGGGCGACCGAAAATTTGGGCACAAATTCTTCGAAAAATGAACGATTTTCCACTAAAATTTCAGTTAGATATTTGCCTCAGTTCATTATTATTCCTTATTATTCCAGTCATTTTGCTTTCTAATACCCTGACCAGTGTCCAGTTCTTTGAGAAAATCCTTCTTCCCCACATAGAATCAGTTCGAGCCTCCATCAACAACCCTGAGCAGAAAGCGCTACTGATATCAGATGTGTTTCGGGCCCAACACACACAGACACTAAAAGATCTGATGACAGCCAACAACTGCATCCTACAGAAAGTTCCAGCTAATATGACCCATCATCTACAGCCCCTGGACATATCTATCAATGGACTGGCTAAGAAATTCATGCGCAATAAGTACGAAGATTGGTACGCGAAAAACATAGTGTGTCAGCTCAATGGAGGAGTTTCATCAGACAATGTGAAAATTGATACCCGCTTGACAGTGATCCGTGAAGTACACGCTCGTTGGATCAACGAACTTTTTGTATATTTAAAAGGGAGGCCAGATGACATAAGGAAAGGCTTTGAGAAGTCGGGTATAACTGATGCTTGTAGATCAGACTTTACGGTGGATGATAATCCATTTGCAGATCTTGTTTAAATCTCTAGCTATCCGTACCTCTAGCCATTTGTTTTATTAGTAGCTGTTAGCTATTCCAGTCATTTCTCTTCATTTAAAATATAAGCCTTTTTACTTGGTCAAGCCATGAATGACAGATTAGTAAATTCAATTTGGTTTGGACACATAGTAAGACAGCACAAATATAGGTGAATTCTTCGTATATTTACATCACTAGCCTATAAAAATAAAATTAGGTTAGACTAATGAAAGCAATTTAAAAGTTAACAACTTGAAAATTCAAAACAGTTTTTAATCTGAAACTTTACTAAAGAGCTCAATGTGCTAGGTAGAGCATAACAGATTATTCAGCGAGTAACTACAATCCTATTTAACCCAAAAATATTAGTTCTAAATTTTGAAATAAGAATGCTCTCTTCTCTATCAAGTGCTGTTGGTCGGACTTTTCTTACTACACCTAATTTAAAAACTCCCATAGTGAAATCAGATTTATGCGCTAGAAAACAATGCATGCCGACTTCTCAAATGACAATTCATTATCAATTTTAAACTTGTTTCTGTGTCCATTCATTCTGATATGAAATGGAGAAACTGTTTGGCCGAAATAGGTGTCGTCTTTCAGGCTCTGGGGAAGTTTATTACAAATTTGGCATTGGGCGACATAAATTATATTGCTGTCCTTACATGTCAACCGGAAATCCAGAGTTAAATCCAAACCATTGACAGTGATAACTTCGTTGGAGTTGAACAGTTGGGGACAGGTTGCACAGCCTCTCCGCCACAGTTTTGGCTGACGGTGAAAGAATCCGTTTCGGAGCACGAACTGAGTTTTCTATTGCGCACTACTGTTTTGCCTATAGATGGCTGTTTACGTAGTGCAAACAATATCTGTACGTCTCCGCATAATTGTTTGATGTCCTCACTAGTAGTGTGTACCAACTTCCTAAGTTCAGTGACCTCTTTGAAAAATTTCACTGAAAAGACAACTTTGTCAGTGATTGGCTTCTTATCTTCCCTCTCATACAAATCGTGTTCTATTGACCTCAAGACTGCTTCAGGCTCTGTTTCCGTTAAGGTCCCCTCCTTGTGTCCACTTTTCATTAGGTCTTCTTTCAGTTCCTCCAGGTCCTCCACACATGTGTGATCCTGCGAATTTCGCTTGATCACTCGGATCATCTGTGAGAATACTACTGATTTAAAGACGTGGTTTGGGTGGAAACTATCAGTATTAAGGTAAAGCCTGGCATCAGTCTCTTTCTTAAATAGTCTGTAGTAGATGTTGTTGTTCTCCCCCAGTGAGAGTTCTACATCCAAGTAGTTAACTGATTTGCCAAACTGGCAATCACCGAACTGAATTCCAAATCGTTTTGCGGCTTCATTTAGTTTCGACACAAAAAGATCAAATTGCCTCCTGTAGCCCTTCCAAATTCCAAAGACATCGTCGATGAAGCGTCGCCAGAATAAAATAAGACTCCATAGCTGTATCATTTCAGGCCAGATGTTGATGAATAGCACCCAATGAAGCATGATATCAGCGACTTGACGCGAAATACAATTTCCAGTTGGGATACCCTTTTTGCCTGTGTACACATTTTCTTGAAAAGTGACAAAGGAGTTTGTGAAGATAATCTCCGTGAATGTTTTCAGAATAGCCTTTCGTTTATCAATCATAGCACTACCGTTCAGGGCATGTTCCAATGCAGACATAGCTATTTCAGGTTTTATGCTTGGATACAGACTGATCACGTCTAAAGTAAACAAGTTGATGGTGCTATATTTTGACATGTCTGCAGATTCATTAAGGTTTTTTATGTTACTGAGAAGGTCTGGTGTATCCAGGAGAAACTCCTGTTGGCAATAAATCCTACTTATATCTGTTAGGTATGGGCTAACCCACTTTTCTAGCCTGTAAAGGGGGCCTTCCTTAGTGGCATGGACAAGCCTGGTAGGGGGAACCATTTTCTCCTCAATCTGTTGTGGACTTAATTTGTGTAGCTTAAATAGAGGGTAGACATAAGGGACTACTGGTTTGAATACATGTGCATTGTGCATGCATTTGGTTATTATTTTCATTAAGTCCAGTAATGAGTTTCTTGTCTTTTTCTGTGATTTTCCCCTCTGATAAAGCCAGAAGAACTGCATCCTTAACATTATTCTTCACATCTGTCATTTTCTCTTCAACTGACATTTGGGAATGAGCAAAGTTCTCTCTATCTCCTAAGTTCCTTTGAACACATTCCACAGCTTCCTTATAGTCAAGAATCAAGGTCGATCCTCCTTTGTCAGCTTTGGTGACAAAGATGTTCTCATCTTCTATATTTTTCAAAATCCATCTCTTCCCTCTCCTCTCTGCTGGTGTCAGGTTAGACTTTGGGTCAGCAGGCATGAAGCTGTTTACGAAACCCATCAGTTTTGTTTTTATTTCATCAAAGAGCGGGTTGCTGTACTCAGGATGCCTTCTTGAAGGTATCCTTAAGCCAGGATGTTCGTCTTCGTTGAAACTATTGTTCTCAGTTGGGTTATCATGAAAGAACGCCTTCCATGAAACTTTACGTAAGAACTCTTTGGTGTCATACTGAAGGTCTTCCTTACTTGCCTTTTTACTTTCCACAAAGTTCAAGCCTTTGGCCAGATACAAAAATGCTATATCGGGGACTTCTACATGGGAGAGATTTCTCACAACTGTGGACGATATCTCCTTGACTCTCTGTTCCAACCATAACTTTTTCCGGTTCTGCTTGTTTTTCTGGTAGCGTTTGCGCCTGGCCTTCTTCTTTTCGGCAGATGCTTTTCTCCACTTCTTGCGTTTGGAATTTGAAGAAGGAGGGTTGGCTTCTGTTCCCTGTTTGTTGAGATGAAACTGAATTTTCTTTTGGTGGGTTTTCCTGATGCGCTCACGAGCCTTTTCAGCCTTGTTTTGAAGGGATTGCAAAGTTGGTCCGGAATCTTCAACAAGTTTAAGCAGTTTAGTAAATTAAAATTTCAAATATTATTTCACTTGGATATGAAGAAAAAGCCATCTTTCTATAGATTTCAGGGCCACAGGCCAAATGCCAAAAGTTTGGTTAGCAAAAAATTTAGCAGACGGAAAAGATTTATGCAATTAATTTGGTCTGCGAAAAATTTGGGCGAGAGGCCCGCTCAAATTTTTTGTCGCCCAAATTTTTGGGAATTAACTAATTGTACAATTAATAAACTTTTCTTGTTGATGTCAGTATTTCAGTCTATGTTTATTCGCATACATTATTGCATTTCTAAGATTAACATAAATGTCAGGATGAATCCCTTTGGTCCCTCCAAGTTTTAGGAAAGAACAACTTACTCCATGTGCAGTCACTTTCTTTTGTTCCTTTTCCAGTGGCTACCTCTTTTCCAGTTGGACAGGCAGTGCAGGTAGTAGCTGTGTTTGCTGCTGCACTCCATTCATCTGCCGGACAGTCTGTACAGCCATTTGTCTGATCCAGAAACTGGCCCGCAATACAATCTTCTGCAAGTATAGTCGAGTTTAGTCAAATATTAGTTGCAAGTTTGAGCCGCTGGCGAGCAGCCTAAAATTCGAAGTACCCTTTTAGGGATGGTTTGCTTTTATTTGAATATTGGATAAGTGTCAAAGTGTGTGCGGGTGTTCACATGCATTTGAATCACAGAAATTCCTTTCGAGCATCTGTGATGGGACCTCATAAACGTAAAGTAGTATTAATTGTACAATTACTAAACTTTGCTTGTTGACGTCAGTGTTTCAGTCTATGTTTATTCGCATACATTATTGCATTTCTAAGATTAACATAAATTTCAGGATGAATCCCTTTGGTCCCACCAAATTTTAGGAAACAACAACTTACTCCATGTACAGTCACTTTCTTGTGTTCCTTTTCCAGTGGCTACCTCTTTTCCAGTTGGACAGGCAGTGCAGGTAGTAGCTGTGTTTGCTGCTGCACTCCATTCATCTGCCGGACAGTCTGTACAGCCATTTGTCTGATCCAGAAACTGGCCCGCAATACAATCTTCTGCAAGTATAGTCGAGTTTAGTCAAATATTAGTTGCAAGTTTGAGCCGCTGGCGAGCAGCCTAAAATTCGAAGTACCCTTTTAGGGATGGTTTGCTTTTATTTGAATATTGGATAAGTGTCAAAGTGTGTGCGGGTGTTCATACAATAGTTGCATTTGAATCACAGAAATTCCTTTCGAGCATCTGTGATGGGACCTCATAAACGTAAAGTAGTATTAATTGTACAATTACTAAACTTTGCTTGTTGACGTCAGTGTTTCAGTCTATGTTTATTTGCATACATTATTGCATTTCTAAGATTAACATAAATTTCAGGATGAATCCCTTTGGTCACACCAATTTTTAGGAAACAACAACTTACTCCATGTACAGTCACTTTCTTGTGTTCCTTTTCCAGTGGCTACCTCTTTTCCAGTTGGACAGGCAGTGCAGGTAGTAGCTGTGTTTGCTGCTGCACTCCATTCATCTGCCGGACAGTCTGTACAGCCATTTGTCTGATCCAGAAACTGGCCCGCAATACAATCTTCTGCAAGTATAGTCGAGTTTAGTCAAATATTAGTTGCAAGTTTGAGCCGCTGTCGAGCAGCCTAAAATTCGAAGTACCCTTTTAGGGATGGTTTGCTTTTATTTGAATATTGGATAAGTGTCAAAGTGTGTGCGGGTGTTCACATACAATAGTTGCATTTGATTCACAGAAATTCCTTTCGAGCATCTGTGATGGGACCCCATAAACGTACAGTAACATAATTGTACAATGACTAAACTTTGCTTGTTGACGTCAGTGTTTCAGTCTATGTTTATTTGCATACATTATTGCATTTCTAAGATTAACATAAATTTCAGGATGAATCCCTTTGGTCACACCAATTTTTAGGAAACAACAACTTACTCCATGTACAGTCACTTTCTTGTGTTCCTTTTCCAGTGGCTACCTCTTTTCCAGTTGGACAGGCAGTGCAGGTAGTAGCTGTGTTTGCTGCTGCACTCCATTCATCTGCCGGACAGTCTGTACAGCCATTTGTCTGATCCAGAAACTGGCCCGCAATACAATCTTCTGCAAGTATAGTCGAGTTTAGTCAAATATTAGTTGCAAGTTTGAGCCGCTGGCGAGCAGCCTAAAATTCGAAGTACCCTTTTAGGGATGGTTTGCTTTTATTTGAATATTGGATAAGTGTCAAAGTGTGTGCGGGTGTTCACATACAATAGTTGCATTTGAATCACAGAAATTCCTTTCGAGCATCTGTGATGGGACCTCATAAACGTAAAGTAGTATTAATTGTACAATTACTAAACTTTGCTTGTTGACGTCAGTGTTTCAGTCTATGTTTATTTGCATACATTATTGCATTTCTAAGATTAACATAAATTTCAGGATGAATCCCTTTGGTCACACCAATTTTTAGGAAACAACAACTTACTCCATGTACAGTCACTTTCTTGTGTTCCTTTTCCAGTGGCTACCTCTTTTCCAGTTGGACAGGCAGTGCAGGTAGTAGCTGTGTTTGCTGCTGCACTCCATTCATCTGCCGGACAGTCTGTACAGCCATTTGTCTGATCCAGAAACTGGCCCGCAATACAATCTTCTGCAAGTATAGTCGAATTTAGTAAAATATTAGTTGCAAGTTTGAGCCGCTGTCGAGCAGCCTAAAATTCGAAGTACCCTTTTAGGGATGGTTTGCTTTTATTTGAATATTGGATAAGTGTCAAAGTGTGTGCGGGTGTTCACATACAATAGTTGCATTTGATTCACAGAAATTCCTTTCGAGCATCTGTGATGGGACCCCATAAACGTACAGTAACATAATTGTACAATGACTAAACTTTGCTTGTTGACGTCAGTATTTCAGTCTATGTTTATTCGCATACATTATTGCATTTCTAAGATTAACATAAATTTCAGGATGAATCCCTTTGGTCACACCAATTTTTAGGAAACAACAACTTACTCCATGTACAGTCACTTTCTTGTGTTCCTTTTCCAGTGGCTACCTCTTTTCCAGTTGGACAGGCAGTGCAGGTAGTAGCTGTGTTTGCTGCTGCACTCCATTCATCTGCCGGACAGTCTGTACAGCCATTTGTCTGATCCAGAAACTGGCCCGCGATACAATCTTCTGCAAGTATAGTCGAGTTTAGTAAAATATTAGTTGCAAGTTTGAGCCGCTGGCGAGCAGCCTAAAATTCGAAGTACCCTTTTAGCTTTTTAGGGATGGTTTGCTTTTATTTGAATATTGGATAAGTGTCAAAGTGTGTGCGGGTGTTCACATACAATAGTTGCATTTGAATCACAGAAATTCCTTTCGAGCATCTGTGATGGGACCTCATAAACGTAAAGTAGTATTAATTGTACAGGGTGGGCCAAAAGTCAGTGTGCAAACGTTGGGTCTTATACCTCCGCTGAGTTTTATATTTGAGAGCTGTTGCTTTGCAGATGGCATACTGTACTTACTGGTTCGAGGATTCCGTCGTCAAAATTTGAAAATTCGAATATTTCAGACCACGCCCATTCAATATTAAAACACCTATATTGTTTTCTCTGAAAATCCTGAACGCCTAATTTTTTTAGAGACGGTAGATAATCAAATGTTGCATATGATCTGAAAAAATGAGGCAAAACGGATTAGAAATGACGAAGTTAACAAGCATTTTGTGTATCTTGTTAACAAATTGACTGGGTGATTATGTGACACCGTGACACGACACCTTAATTGGGCACCCTTAACAATTCCCATAATGTTTAACGGGGTAGTTAACGGGGTCACCTTATCACGTGATTAGGTTAACCAATCACCTGATCACACGTAATGAACAAGCTTGTTATGCTTCATATCTCGGTCATCTGAGAAGCTACAGTTCTAATTCTTTCATGACAAACGTAATTCGAATGGCCAAACACAATTCAATAACATTTAGCTTGATCCGATTATCCAAACTATCAAAAAAATGTGAAAATGAACCTCCATTTGAAAAAAATGAACGCGAATATTTTTCGAGTTGACAAATTCCTCGAACCAGTGGTGGTACTAAGTCATACCAGAAGGAAGTATTTCAATTGGGCACTCAGTGACTGAGCTATTAAGGCAAACGTTTGCACACTGACTTTTGGCCCACCCTGTACAATTACTTTACTTTGCTTGTTGACGTCAGTGTTTCAGTCTATGTTTATTTGCATACATTATTGCATTTCTAAGATTAACATAAATTTCAGGATGAATCCCTTTGGTCCCACCAATTTTTTCCGTTCACCCTTTTGTAAAAAGGCAATAGTGAAAGGTTACGAATGGACGTTTTTAATTTTGCAGAAAAACGTGGATTTTGGAGATAGTTGTAGGTGGGTTTAGATATGGTATCATTCTTTCCGTCCGTTACCATGACAACTAGAGAACTAGCGCGCAGTGCAGCGCGCGAGTATTGCTTGGGGAGATATGATGTAACGTATATAGCTAGCCTGTCAATGAATGCGCGGCGCGAGTGTATTTTAATGTATACTATGCTATGTATAGTATTAGGTTATAAGCCCAATTTGTACGTGGCATGCGTAGTATAGTGTACTGATGTGTATCAATATTATTATTATGAAGTGAGCTGATTGGAGCTTATATTTATAGTTATAGTGAACGGAAATCTAATGTCCGCCAAAACGAAACACGGGGCGCAATTCTTGTTAGGAAACAACAACTTACTCCATGTACAGTCACTTTCTTGTGTTCCTTTTCCAGTGGCTACCTCTTTTCCAGTTGGACAGGCAGTGCAGGAAGCAGCTGTGTTTGCTGCTGCACTCCATTCATCTGCCGGACAGTCTGTACAGCCATTTGTCTGATCCAGAAACTGGCCCGCGATACAATCTTCTGCAAGTATAGTCGAGTTTAGTAAAATATTAGTTGCAAGTTTGAGCCGCTGGCGAGCAGCCTAAAATTCGAAGTAACCTTTTAGGGATAGTTTGCTTTTATTTGAATATTGGATAAGTGTCAAAGTGTGTGCGGGTGTTCACATACAATAGTTGCATTTGATTCACAGGAATTTCTTTCCAGCATCTGCGATGGGACCTCATAAACTTAAAGTAGTACTAATTGTACAATTACTAAACTTTTCTTGTTGACATCAGTATTTCAGTCTATCGCTTATATTATCTTCCGGTCTATGCTATAGTCAATATTTTTATCCTTGAGGTCCCATATCACTTTTGATATGTATATTATAGCACGCTGTTCGTAATCATAAACAATGGCTGGCCCAGAGGCATGATATGCAATGAGAAAGTGATGCCTTACAGTGCAGGATATAACAAGATAATAAGAGGAAGGTTATAAGAAAAGCTCTGAACGTGAATACAGCTCAGAGTGATCCCGATCAACTGTGCCCGCGTTCTGTCAATTTATAAAGGATGCCCTTAGCGGCACCTCTATTGTGAGTAGTCTATCATTTCTACTTTCACACTGAGTTTAAATGGTGGTTTATCTCCTATCTGATTAATACAACGATATCCGTATACAAAATACAAATAGGAGTATCAAACTTGGTAATGCGATAGTAAAACTTAACAAAAGATAAGCATCACAGGACAGTACGCGTGTGGCGTAGTAATGAGGTAATGCCGCAGCGGGCAAAATCGGTCTTATGATTGTAAGAATTTTATCGATTAACTCTTTTTTGTGTAAAAATAGAGTTAAAATTTCGGTTCACGACATGTATAAATTGTAATCCAAGTGGTCATACACCGAAAGATAAGAGCGGAAACACTAGATCTGCGTACCTTTATACTCACTTTATATATACGTATAATTTGATCGTAATCCAATGTAGTCAAAACGTAGATTCGCTAAGTCGAGACTTAGTTTCAGTGAGCAAAATGTTTGAGCTAGTGAGCCCAAAATATGAGGCAAATTGTATCCTGAGGCTCTGCTTACGAGTTAAGATTCGTGGATTCAGGATTGCCTGTTTTATGAAAAATAATTTTTGGCTTAAGATGTGAGTATATAATATACTCAACGGATTTCACAGGCTTACTTTTATGAATGGCCCCTTGTATATCTTACATCTCACCATCCAACGAGAAAAATCAAATTTTGACTCTTGCACGTCATTCAGTGCTTCAAAATTTGCGGAGATATAGTACGCGCCTTTTCATAATACGCACTTACCTTCACAGTGGACTATCCCAAACAGAAGGAAACATAGCAAGCCAGTTCGGACAAGGTTTGTCCCCATTGCAAAGCTGCGTGACTTCTTTAGATAACAGATAAGAAACCTTCCTTTACTGAGTAGTGAGTTAGTTATTGGTGATCATTTTCTTATCTTTACAAATAAACTTTCACAGGTCACGTAAATAAACACTAATTACAAAGAAAATGTTCGCGAAAGACACCAGTGCATGTCCTAGGATACAAGGATACAAGGATTCAAAAGTGGTAATTACTTTATTGAGTACACAATAGTTGTAATTCTGAAATTTTATTTTGAGGTCTTATAGCATTATGCACTGGCCAGTATTAGAGTGGAAATCTGGGCTCTTATAGTTATAGTAGGCTGTATATTGTTCGTTCACATTTTCGAAAGAAACCCGAGTATCGCAAAACCACCAAAAGAGGACTTTCTTATTCACAACGGTTTCAAGAAACGAATTCCTCCGCAATCAACTGCAACACAGCCCATCGGGAGTAAAATATTCACACCACACGTCATTACTAAAACTTTGAAATGTAGCTTTAGAGAATATTGGAGGTCCTGTATCAACACTTCTCGGAAATTAGAATTCTATTGTGACCTAAAATCCAAATTTAACAAAGAGTATTACCTAGACATTGTCATTAAATATGCAGACCGTGCTAATATCACAAGACTGCGGATCAGTGCACATCGACTAGAAATTGAACTTGGCCGATATAATAAAACTCCTCGCGATGAGCGAATATGCTCCTGGTGCAATATAGTCTTAGGTTCTGGTATTATTGAGAATGAAGATCACTTCCTTAACCATTGTGATCTTAACGCTGCATCGAGGCGAAAAGTCCTAGACAAGATCCAGTCAATCATATCAAATTCAATCAAACCATCTGCGACATCTTATTCTGTTTGCACTATCATCCCTGGAGCAAACGTCCTCAAATTCATCAGCAACAACAGTGAAATCATTGAATTAATCACGAATGAAAGTCAAGTCCACCTCACGAGAGTCGTTGCTACATTTGCCACTACCAGCGCTTTTGTTTCTTTTCGCGCAACAACGAGTGCAAAGTGGCCTGGCTCAAGCATTAGAGCATTACCAAGGCGACTGTAAACAAGTTGGTCTTGCTATGAATGCTTCTAAGACCGAGTTCATGACCATCAATATCCCTGACACTGTCGACTTACATTCTATCTCAGGCCGCCAGATTAAACAGGTTGATGACTTTAAATACCTCGGCTCTTTCATTGCGGACAGTAGAAAGGATTTCAACACAAGGAAAGGAATGGCCTGGTCAGCCTGTATTAAACTGCAAAAAGTCTGGTCCTCTGGCATTTCCGAACAACTGAAAGTCAAGTTCTTTAGAGCCTGTGTCGAACCAGTATTGCTCTATGGATCAGAGACATGGACCATAAACAAGCAGCTTGAGAAACGCCTCAACGGATGCTACACCCGTCTTTTAATGAAGGCCAAGAACATCTCGTGGAAGAAGCATCCAACCCTCAAGCAGATCTATGGCAACCTTCCATCTATTGCCTCAGTGGTTGCGTCGAGGCGTTCCAGATTTGCTGGGCATTGCATGAGAGCTTCTGACCAAGTTATCTCCACTATCCTCCCCGTGCGACTTGCCCAATCGGGCCGTGGAAGGAGACCACTCACCTTCCTGGACGTAGTAGCTCGTGACACTGGGCTCCAGTTAGACGACCTTCGAACTGTTATGTGCGATCGAGACGTGTGGAGGCAGACAGTGAATGGGATTTCGATTGAGGATCGCCCAAAGTAAAGTAAGTAAACAAAATATATTTTTTTTGTCAAAATTTTTATTTTTCACTTTAGTTTAAGTTATATTAATATAATAAATTCAAATCTTATGATATTGTTATTATCTTAACAGTTATTATTGTAGCTTAAGATTTTAAATTTGTATTCCTTGTATTCATATTCCTTGTATTCCTTGTATTCCTTGTATTCCAGTGAGAATTGAATGGATTGCTCTTGCTGTGGCAGTAAATTTTGTAGGGTCTAGAGTTTTAATGGATAGAAAACCGGCTAGGTCAGTTTGGGATGGAAGTTACATTTTTCTCTAACTGAGGAGTAGAGTAAACAGTTAAAACATGAATTTCGAATGTCTTATGTGCGTGATGAATATGAGACTGTCTTGCACTTTCTCGGACAGTTTCAGCCATTGTGCAAATAAGAAGGCAATATTCTAATATGTATACCTCTCCGTCGACGACAAATTTGACAACCAACGTATCACCACTATAATTGTCAACTTCGCAAAGCGCACTTAACCTCTCATTGTGCCCGAGGAACTAAATCAAACCATTTAGCAGGAGCTTTCAAAACATTTCTGTAAATCGTCTTTGGCTTATCATGTTGTGTTGGACAAAGTCATCCAACTCGTTTTCTTGGTCCATAAAGGTATTCAACGGATTAAACGGATTAAACGATTCAAAAGTCAAACCACTATAATAAACAAAAAAATAATCCCCACAATCATTAAGAATGAGATTTAATTTTCTTATAATTTAAATGAACATAAAGGTATTGAACTTGTCCTGGAGCTCTGGTTGGAAGGCCGCTGACGTCGGCGCATCATTTTTTAATGATGCTTTATAACTTTGGGCCAGGTGATGTTGGCCCTTAATAACAGCTTGAGGGTTGCCTCCACAATCCAGTGGTCAGATTGATTATACTGATGGTTTAGTGTATGACTCTTGGGCCTCTCATGATATCATGGATCGCTAAGGTCCCACCAGGATCTGGTAATCGTCATATTTCTGCGGCCTCTATGTATCGTCATCTCGCACAACTCTGTAAGACCCTTGTGAGTTTAGCATGTGACAATTTGCAGCCTTCCAGACATTGATTGGGTTAACGAGGTGTCGTACGTCACCTCAAGATCGGGTGACAGGGGGCTGACCAGGCCAGAACCCAATTGATTGGGTCTGAGGTCACGTGATTATGAGCCTGAGGTCACGTGACTATGACGTCATCAGAGCTTGTTCCCAGGTTCCCGCTCATTGGACCAGGTGAGCTTGCATCATTGCATGCTTGTGAATGTGGGTGTAAGTACAGCTGTACTGTAATTTATATCTAATTACCCCCTACAGAAACCATAAATTTATTTTCTGACAGAAAGCTAGACATTTACCAAAATATCGACATTGTTATAAACTTATTTTAATGGCCATGACTATGACTCACAGTTTCTGCCATTTGGAGCGAATGAGGATGTGGTCATTCTGATGCAGTTGACCATTTGATGATGTCCAAATCACCTTCTTGGAAGACTTGGTATTAAACGGCAATCGTACTATGATCCAGGTAGCGTATTCTAGTGCGACACAATATCCTGTCTTATTTCCAAGTTCAACTTTAGCCAGCCGATGGTAAAAGTGTTTTCTAGGTCTGTAGACACATTAGCAGTAGGAGAGTGGCACTAAATGAGCGCATACTTCACCTGTGGACGCTCTAGCTAGTCATTTAAGATTATAACCGAGATATCAAGCATGATGTGTTTATAGTTCATTGCCGGTGATCATGGAAAGTATCTTAAGACTTCTCCTAACCATGTGCTTTCACCTAACCACGTGATTGAATTAAATATTTGAATTAAATATTTGAATTAAATATTTGAATTAAATTTTTGAATTAGATATTTGAGTCATTTGAATTAGATTGGATTCAATAATAATGAATTGAATATTTTGATATTATGAGTATGTACTGAGCAGTGAGCTTCAGGCTTTTGGGCGAAGAAACCTTCGCGAAAGTGCTATAACAGATCACAAAGAATATTTAGGCTGGGCTTTATAAGTGAAAAGTACAGGGTGGGCCAAAAGTCAGTGTGCAAACGTTGGGTCTTATACCTCCGCCGTGTTTTATATTTGAGAGCTGTTGCTTTGCAGTTGGCATACTGTACTTACTGGTTCGAGGATTCCGTCGTCAAAATTTGAAAATTCGAATATTTTAGACCACGCCCATTCAATATTAAAACACCTATATTGTTTTCTTTGAACATGCTGAACGCCTAATTTTTTTAGAGACGGTAGATTATCAAATGTTGCATATGATCTGAAAACATGAGGCAAAACGGATTAGAAATGACGAAGTTATCAAGCATTTTGTGTATCTCGTTAACAAAATTGACTAGGTGATTATGTGACACCGTGACACAACACCTTAATTGGGCACCCTTAACAATTCCCATAATGTTTAACGGGGTAGTTAACGGGGTCACCTTATCACGTGATTAGGTAAACCAATCACCTGATCACACGTAATGAATAAACTCGTTATGCTTCATATCTCGGTCATCTGAGAAGCTACAGTTCTTATTCTTTCAGGACAAACGTAATTCGAATGGCCAAACACAATTCAATAACATTTAGCTTGATCCGACTATCCAAACTATCAAATAAATGTGAAAATGAACCTCCATTTGAAAAAAATGAACGCGAATATTTTTCGAGTTGACAAATTCCTCGAACCAGTGGTGGTACTAAGTCATACCAGAAGGAAGTATTTCAATTGGGCACTCAGTGACTGAGCTATTAAGGCCAACGTTTAATTTGCACACTGACTTTTGGCCCACCCTGTGTGTTACAGGAGGGATAGTCAAAAGAAACCATTTTGTCATTGACTCCAACACGGGTACGGTTGTGATATACTCTATTCTCATTTCATGAAATAAATATATAATAATTCTCTTACATGATAAAATTAAATGGCATTAAAGACTTCGTCCAGCAGATTGACGAGATTTTATGACGTTCTGCCGTCTAAAAGTAAAACTGCAAGCTAGATTAAGGATGAAGCACAAGAATCTGGTCCCAATCAGCTTACATGGCGAAACTTGATAATAATCACGTAACACGTAGGGAGTAAGGCGAGAACAATTACCACGTTGTACCAATTGTATCGACCGATGAACGAATATGCAAAATACTGTCTAGATGTTATCTTTACAGTGCAATGCTTTTCCGTGAAGATGTTTGTTCTAGCGTCGGCAGTATCATGTGAACGAACTTGCACCCTG